TAAACATATAAATCTACGAAAACATATACATATACATATACATATACATATACATATACATATACATATACATATACATATACATATACATATACATATACAATATATATATATATATTTGGGGGGGAGTAGAGGTATGATGTTTTGCTGAAAATCTGCAAGTGGCAATTGCATTTAGCCAGCCATGACTGATTCCTCCCACCAAAAACCCCAGAGATTTAGTAAATAAAGATACAGTAGTCCTTGACTTACAATATTTCATTTAGAGACCGTTCAAAGCTATAATGGCACTGAAAAAAAAGTCACATAACCGTTTTTTACACTTAGGACTGTTGCAGCACATGGTCACATGATCAAAATTCCGGTGCTTGGCAACTGGCTCATATTTATGACTGTTGCAGTGTCCCAGGGTCATGTGATCACTTTTTGCATGCTTCTGACAAGCAAAATCTATGGGGTTAAAAACCAGGTGGCTAAGTGAACAACTGCAGTGATTCACTTAACAACAGTGGCAAGAAAGGTTGTAAACAGTGGGGGATTGCAAATATTTTTACTTCTGGTTCGGGCGTACTCCTGCGCTCGCATGCGCAGAAGCATCCGGGAAACAGGGCAGGGCTTCTCGCCGCCGCTACTACCAGTTCAGCCGACCCAGGCCATCCCAGGAGCAACCCACCATTGGTCGTAAAATGTGGCAAAATTCACTTAACAACTGTCTCACCTAGCAACAGAAATTTTGGGCTCAATTGTAGCCATAAGTGGAGGGTTATCTGTATTCAGATGGCAGGTTATAAGGAAATCCCTGAGCTGGGGACTGCCTTGGGAAACAAAATATCATGGAAGAAGGCATGTACTTTTCCATGTGACTGCCACAAACACCACTCAGATGTGTACAGTTACTAGGACGCTAGTGTGACATGAAAGAACCTTGGCCATTTTTCTAAAGAGCAGTGAGTAACATTCAACCCATATCATTAAATCAAAGCATTGTAAGGAAGCTTGAGATGATTTATTAATCATCGCTGGAAGATTTATGTTGATTGCACCCATGCTGAGGTATGAACGTGACTCATTTTTATGTTTTTGCTGATAAGGGGCAGTTCCTTTTGCCTTGTCCTTTATGGACCCCTTGAAGCTTTGTCATTTGTTCAAGAGGATCCCTCCAACCCAGGAGACTGGGAGTTGTAGTCCCACTTTAGGCATGAAAGCCGGCTGGGTGAACTGGGGTCAGGCACTCTCTCTCAGTCCAACTCACCTCACAGGGTGGTTGTTGTAGGAAAAAAAATAGGAGGAAGGAGTATTAAATATGTTCATCGGCCTTGACTGATTTATAAAAATAATAAAGGTGGGATTAACAATGTAATAAAATAAATAAATAAACAAAGGTGGATGGCATGCAGGGTTCTTTGATGGAGAAGTCATAAAGACTCTTGCTTCATGTAAAATACACGTACTATTGCAGGTGTACATTGTTGCAGATAGAGCCTTGTTTCATAGCATACACCAATTTCATTCTATTAGTAAACAGTCTGCCATCTCTGTTCTTAGTGATGTAATACCCAGATGATGGTCACCACGTAATATTTCTGAAGATGCAGATCCATATTGTCTTGTATTAAGTTATAACTAAAGGAGGTGATGGAAGTCCTATACCAAGAATAGTAACAATTTCTTACCCAGGAAGTTCCTGGTAGGGGTTGCTTCCTTGATTCGGATACTGGTGGCTCCCATCGGAATGACAAAGATTTGATTGTAGCCTATAGGAGCAGAATAAATCAGCCAGAATAAATTCATTTTCTGAGAGAGAATATAATAGAGAAGGAAGCCAGGGTAAAGTCACTCTTTTGTGCAGAGAAGCTACATGGGAAAAGATATAAATTTTGCTGTAACTACTCCACTGATTTTGAACTGTCTCCATCCGTATTCATATTACCCATAAAGCTACCCTTGCATGTAATTGATGTAATATGGCACAAGGCAGGGACTTCAATGCATCACACTGCAGACATGCTACAGTAGAAACTTTCCTGAGTTACAGTTATTGACTTTAGCTTTAAAGATATAAAGAGATTAATAAGAACAATCAATCACATCTCTACCACAGCCCCAGTCTAAAGTCTAACACACAGGTAGTCCTCGACTTACGTTGGTTCATTTAATGACCGTTTAAAGTTACACCAGTACTGGGAAAAAAGGGACTTAGGACTGTTTTCACAATTGCAACTTTGGAAGCATCTCCATGATCATGTGATCACAATTCATACGCTTGGCAATTGGTTCATACTTAGGACCGTTGCTGTGTCCCAAAGTCATGTGATCCCCTTTTGCGATCTTCTGACAAGCTAAGTCACTGGGGAAACCAGATTCACTTAGCAACCATGTTACTAACTGATCAATTGCAGTGATTCACTTAACAACTATGGCAAGGAAGATCATAAAATGGGGCAAAACTCACTTTAACAAATGCCTCGCTTAACAACAGAAATTTTGGGCTCAATTGTGGTCATAAGTCGAGGACTACCTTATTAATCTATGGTACCAAAACAACCCTGCAGTACCTTTAGGGAGGTTGGGCACATCAAAGAGTCCCTTGACTTCAAAACAAGCTCTTCCATTCCCACCGCACTGCAGACATTTGTCTTCCTTTTGGGAAGAATCCAGCATTTTATCACAGCCAACAGCCTGTAAAATAGCAAAGTTCAAACCATCCACAGATGAGATGAACAATCCAGCTATCAGAAAATAGAAAGACAAGACACTTCACAGTAAGGTTGATGACATTTCACTGTAAGGTTGATGACAAACTGATTTAAAATAACAGATGAGCTGTTATATAAATAGTGATTCTTCTTTCAAATCTTTTTTATTTTAGTGTATACTGATTTTCCCACTCAGAACATCTCTGGGGATGTCAAGGCCAGGACATCAGCAGCCATATGTTTCATAACTTTTCTCAGAACATCTTTCTAAAACAGCCTTGGTACCCACCAGGCCTGTGGGAGTTCAGCATCCATACTTTCAAGATATCTGGCAGTGAATGTGTATATTTAGACTTTTAAGCAAGTTTGCCCAAAGTCTACAAAAATACCAGAGACGTTTCCAGCACTGATATTTCAAAGGAGGTTGCTTTCAAAAACCTGTGATATAATAATTGTAGGAAAGTCAACCCCATGGGGATACAACATTAGAGATTTAATTCAGCTAATGTTTCTGCAACCACTATTGACTGGCTAATAAAAATTAAAATACTGTCTGGTTTTTTTTAGCTAACTATTGATGTGGTTGCTTTAATGAAACTGCCTATTACTCTCTGTAATTTGGTACTTCCAGAGTCCTCCTCCCACACCAGCTGCCCAAGTAAATAGCTTCTTCCTACATAAACATGTTCTTACAGAGAATCCAACCAATACCTGGTAAGTAGAAAAGAGGGAGGGGAATTCAGAAGGACCACTTCAAGTAGTCCTTGGCTTATGACCATTTATCTAACAGCAATTCAAAATTGTGACAGCTTCAAAAAAAAAAGGACTTGCAACCAGTCCTCAAAATTACGACCATTGCATACCCCCATGGTGACATGATCATAATTGGGGCATTTAGTAACTGGCTCACATTTACAATGGTTGCAGTATGTCCATGAAAGCAGCTTTTACAAGAGAATATAAGAGCAGATTTCCCCATTTGGGAGAGAAAATGAACATAAGAGCCAAGGTGGCGCAGTGGTTAAATGCAGCACTGCAGGCTACTGCTAGATCAGCAGGTCAGCGGTTCAAATCTCACCGGCTCAGGGT